TGCAGTTAATGATACGACTAATGAACCAACTTTTGCTCCCTCTATTATAAATGATACTTGGTATTCAAAAATTTTCAATGGTTGTCTTAATTCTCCAGCATCTTTTCCTAACTATCGAGTCAAAAACGGTAACATGTACCGGTATATAAAATCAATTAATCCACTTTTACGAGAATTTGAATGGAAAGAAGTGATACCACTGGACAGGCGTCAACTTACCATTTCCCTAAATCATTCTGAACCCACTTCCGGACACCTAGGTATTTTTAAAACGTATAAGCGGTTATCCTTGAAATATTTTTGGCCTCGCATGCATCGTGATGTATCCAACTTTATCTCAAATTGCGATATCTGTAAGTCATACAAATACCCAAACCACACCACTCTTGGTACAATGGGTCGGCCTAAAGACTGCTGTAGACCATTCCAAATGGTAAGTGTGGACCTTGTCGGACCCTTACCTGTAACTAGAAATCAAAATATGTTTTTGCTAGTTGTTGTCTGTTGCTTCTCCAAGTATTGTCTATTGTTTTCTATACGACGTGCTACAGCTGATATCATCTCTAAAATCTTAGAAGAGAAAGTATTCCTTATACATGGAATACCTAGTACAATACTAATGGATAATGGCAGACAATTTATAAGTAATACTATGAAAAGCTTATTCGCTAATTACCATATTCCTAACGTCTATTATACCCCACTTTATACGCCCCAGGTTAACACAGTAGAACGGTATAATAAAACAATTATTACTGCTGTGTCTTCCTTTATAGAAAACGATCATAGATCTTGGGATACTTATATGCCAAAAATTCAGTTTGCTTTAAACAGTGCAGTTAACGAAGTGACAGGCTACACACCTTCATTTTTGGTTTTCGGTCGCGAATTAGTTAGCTGCGGATCCCATTACATAGACTCTGACATAGAAGATCACATCACTTTTGCACCTCGTGATGCATATGCTGAAAACTGTGGCTATCTAAGTAAAATATTTGATAAAGTCCAAGCCGCACTCATTAAGGCGCATTCTAGGTTTGGCACAAGTTACAATCTTCGTCGGAAAAACGTTGAATTCAATGTGGGAGATATAGTTTGGAAGCGAACTTTTTACCAAAGCGACAAAGATAATAGATTTTCAAAGAAACTAGCCCCGAAGTTCATTAAATGTCGTATCGTCCAAAAAAAATCTAAACTTGTCTATGATCTTGAGGATATGGAAGGCAATAATTTAGGTACCTGGCATGTAAAAGATTTTAAGCTAACGTAGTTTTATTTTTAGAGGATTTTATTAGGAAAAATCCTTACCTAAAAGAGGGGGTATGTAACGATTTCTTCACTTCAGGTTCGAAACAAACTTTAAAATAATACTAAAATAAATAAGTACTTAATTCCTAAAGTTAACGCTAGTTACTATTTATATTATTGTACAAATTAAAAATATTAATATGAACTAAAACCAATTAAATATTAATTCATAAGCAAACTCGGGAGGCACAGTATGTTTAGCAGTTCACGACGCGATCGCGTGGAGGGATCGATAGGCGGAGCGCGCAGTAGAATTTTAACTGTGGCAGAGCTAACTGGACGAACTGAGGTCGACGTGCCGGTTACTTAAATATTTTTTCTTCTACCTACGTTTATTATATTGAGTCAAGATTATATATCTAGTACTTGCGCGGCTGTTAAAGTTTATAACAATTTATTATATCGTTTTCACCCCGAATCGGGTAAGTGTTGCAAAATTATATCTATTAAGTAAGGCTATCTCAGTAGAATTGTAAATCTGATAAATATGCGTAGGGCTCATTTTCTCATTAAACTACCTTGCTATAAAAGTGCTTGTTCAATTAGTAGCTTATAGTGTCATATATTTATACTGGCTATCTTTCTGCTGCTTTTATGTACATTGACTGCCTCATCATTGATCACTGTTTTATGTAATCTTTACCACCTGTGCCTCGTAGTATCACGCTGCTTTTGTAGGATGCACATAGGGGTGTGGCAGTCATGTAATATTGAGGATAGTGTTAAAGTAGAAGGTTTACACTATTCCAGGGTTCACCACTCCGGTGCCGGACTGAGCTGGTATTATTTGGACTACCCTACAACAAACCTTCCATCTACGCTACGACGACCACCGGACTACCCTTGTGGCCGACCACGCATTCGCCGATCTATCAGGGCAGTGGTATTGATTGATGGACTTTTCATGTGTTGGTCTTAGTGAATATTAAAGAACCCACTGTATTTCGCTTGTTCTTATATCTTTATATTTTATTATACCTTCCTATTATTATAGCAGCTGTTTTATTCATCTAACGAGGAAAAGTTGTTACATCTAAAATAATCGCTTGTCTTGAGCAGACGTTTGATTTCGTCCCTGATGCCTTGTTTGCAATACGCTAGTAATTTGGCCGAGTAGAGAGTATTAAGTAGTTGTCTCTCGCTTTGATTTTGAGATAGAAACGAAAGAGAACTACTAATACTTCAAAGTGAATGTAAATAAAGTTTAATCTTAAATGGCAGATTGGGAGACTCGCATGAGGAAGTGGATTTTCTTATAACATTAATAAATAATGAATAAAATAAAAAAAGCCATTTATTTCTTACAGGTAATTGTACATTTTATTATTTTTGTTAGTAACTAACAGTTAGTAATTGATACTGACAATAGTGTAAAACTCGTAGAGTACCGGTTTTATAGACACAATTAAAGAACAATAGGTTGCGGTCACCGGTGACCGCTTGGTGTTTGACAGTAATCTTATTGTTAGTATTTTCTATTCTGTGCTACTGTCACAGATATTAGTGAAGAAATATTTCTGTGGCTACTGTAGTCCACTGAGGGCCCGCTGCTTTCTTATTCGAATTCTCTTAAATATCCTTCTAACTTTCTTCCTTCTTTTTTTTTCTGTCTTGAACAGAAACATATGACAGACGACATATGAACATTGCACACGTATGTACCTAGGTAAAAGCTTCCTCAAACTTCAAACCAAACAACAATTCTAACAGAAACAATATGAGAAACATCTCATAGTTTCTTTTAGAATTATTGCCTTGGAATAAAGTTTGAAGAAGCTTTTACCTAGGTACGTGTGCAATGTTCATTTGTATGTAAAATCAGTGTTACCTACATCGGTAGTATTCTACAAGAAAATAGTTGAGTTCCAAAGGAGAGTGGAATGACCCGTTGGATCACTAGCAGAATTTCCTTAAACTTCACCTTCTACCTACTTGAAGAAAAAAAGGACACAGGCGTAGTAAGTAGCGTAGTACCTAAGAGTAAGTAGGTAGCTTTCTACCTACTTAGTATGCAGGTACCTACCTATAGGCTATAGGCCAAAGGTAGGAGTTTAAAATGATGTATAGGTAAATGACGTCATTATCCCTTGTGCTTGGCATCCCTTTGAAAGATGAGACTGCCTCGTAGTAAACGTAGTCGCGGATTCGACTCATGTGTTGATGTTCCATATTGCAACCCTTTGAGTGATGAAGTCATCTGCTTACAACTGCTTCCATCGATTGGTCGCCAACGCGGCAGCCAAGTTAGGGAGGTCATGTTTGATTCATGAGTCTGATAGTTTTTGCGGCATTGTTCGTATAGTGTAGTTGGTGGCAATCAGCTGCTGCACAACCTGTCGCGGGTACGGTGCCCACACGCAATAATATTTTGTCGGTGATAGTGCAAACCGCGACCCTACGTTTTTTTTATGGAATAGGAATTAAACGAGCAGACGGATCACCTAATGGTAAATGATCAGCGCCGCTCATGGACACCCGCAACACCTGAGGAGTCACAAGTGCGTTGCCGGCTTGTTAAAAAGGAATACGCTTTTTCTTGAAGGTTTGATGATCGTATCGGTTCGGAAATACCGCCCACGACAGAATGATCATTCCACAGTTTCGCTGTACGAGGCAGAAAGCTACGTGAGAAGCTATTTACATAATGGAGATGCAAAATGCAAATACTGATGTAAGGGTCGATGGCGAAAAGATGCGGCAGCTATCAGGTCAAACAATTCCTCAGAGCACTCCCCGTGGTATAAGGGATAGAAAATGCACAACGAAGCTACATCTCTACGCATTGCCAGTGTCTAACTTTACTTTACTTTTTACGTAACGCAAAAGATCGAATTTAACAGGGAAAGGTTAAAACTAAATAACTTTATTAATTCATTGAATTTGAAGCTCATTTTTACATATTAACATTGCCAATTAAGATTTTACAGGATTTTTCCGCGAAAACTTGAATGAACTACATTTATCAGATAGACGGAATTCTACAATGCTAGTTCCGCGGATTCACACTATCCCCGATGATATATTTTTCCATTATTGGGATCTGCACACATTCTCACCTTGGTATCTATCAATCTTAGCCTTAGGTCTCATAACAGGGTGTGTGTGACATTTAGTGATGTGCGTGTGAACTGAGGGCCCACCCGGGCTTTCTACATACTGGTGCGCCTTCGCTACAAAGGCGAATGAGACTCTTTCTGACTAAAATCCATCCACCCATCGAACATCATGCTTAACACACTTGGTGTGTAAGTAGAGTAGTTGTATGCTTTGAGAAGTATGGCTAGCACAGGTATCGGGTTCTGTACTTCTATACATATTAAGTATGTCATAAATGATGTTGTGTTGCAAATACTGCCATGTAATAAAACTCAGACACTTAATTGGAAATAATTTATTCATCTTACTATGTTGATGTCAATATTTATATTAGAAAATACCGTCTACTTTAAGGCACTTTATAGAAATAGATAAAAAACTTACAAATTATAATTCTGCAAAGTTTATAAAATATTTTCCCACATGAGATCAGTCAAGCCTTAATACAATAAACTATTTTATAATCTGCTTTATTAATTAACATTATTAATACATAGGTACATACAATAACTAACGTCCCATATGGGTTGAATCTAAATACAAAGGTTGTAATAGTTACACTATTGAGTATACTTTGCAATTAACCCAAGTTATTGCTATGAGCGGGGTTTGAACCTAGACATATAAAAATCACAATCGGGGCAATACATCGCCGGTGGGTTGATAGCCTTCTTACGACACAAGTTGCATACTGTCTTCTGCATGGGTTGCGCGTCGCCGGCCGGGTACGGCGGGCTGCCGTTCATTTGTGGCGGTACGGGTGAGTCCGTGCCGCCCTTCGTGCCCGGCTCGAACGACACGGACTTCTTTTGTATCTGTTTAGGAGGTGGCATGTGCTGATACGGATTGTAACCGTTCTGAGCATACTGGTACTGGCCCACTTGCTCGCTGTTTACATTACTATCAACATTCATGTTTTGGCTGTACACGGAGCGCTGATGCTGAGTGTTGGCGTAGTGCCTCGTCTCCTGGACTCGCTGCTGGCCAGACTGGTTGTCTACGTAGTAGTTGTTAGATATTTTTTGTGGAAATGCGTTATAGTTTTCTACAGGCACATCGCCGTGTGGCGGCGGCACCCTTTGATACGGTGACTGAGTGTAATGGTTTGTACTGTTAGCCTGTGGATATCGACTAGAATATTCGGAGCTCGCATAGCTTGTCGGTGGGTTGTGGTAGCTCTGGTAAGCTGGTGAGTTGGTGGGCACGGTTTGATAAGGCGAATGGTTGGTGTTTGGCATATTGTGGCCGTACTGCCGGTTCGTAGAGTAGTTGTTGCTGGGAATCGTCGAGGGGCAGGATGTTTGAGGGACTCTGTGGTAGTACGCGTTGTTGATGGCCTGGTTCATGGGGTGCAGCTGAGAGGCTGGGTGGCCCGCGCTGGTTGCGGGTCTCTGTAGGTTAACGGGGTGCTTAGACATATATGCGGGGTTGTGCGTCGGCGTCAGTCTGTTGGCAGGAGTTTGGCTAAAGTTCGGTGGGCTAGCATTGCTATGATTGGGATAAACTGACGGCGGCTGGTTGTACGGTATCGGGCTGGTGGTGTTCTGTTGCGTATTATTTGGCAGTGTTTGGTAAATCTGATTACTATTTACTCCGTTTTGATTTGGAGTAGTTTGTACCGGCGAGTTCGTACCGTAAACACTATTATTCTTTTGTGCATTGTACTGCTGTTGTAAACGATTTGGCGGCATTTGATACGCTGGATAATTGTTTTGTAATCTGACGTACTCTGCGTGTGAGTTCTCGCTGGGAACAAACGAGTTTTGAGATAACGAGGATATCGTTGAGCGGGATGACTGACTGTCAAAGGAGTCTTGTCGTTGTAGTGATGGTTTCTCCGACTGGAGAGGCATAGTCGTCAACTCAGGCTTGTTCATCGCGGATTTTAAAACTCTCTCTAAGATAGGGTTCGGTATGTAACTATCATCTTCTTGGTCTTCAGCTGTAGACACTAAGATGACTTGGTCACAGAAAGATACTGATTTCTTCTTGGGTTTAGATCGGTCGCCGTACGTATTGTTGGTAGATTTCGGGTCACATTGTTCCTCTTCTATTTGTTTGGGATCAATAGATGATGCTGAAGCTCTCCGATTGAGCCCAGCGTTAGACTGATCTGAGCAATTTATGACATCTCTATTTCCGCTCATGCCGAAACCTATATGCGTTCTATCGGCGTCTTGTGACGAATTTTGAGTGTTGTTTTCAAATCGTGAAGCAATATTTCTTACGTTGCTACTGGTTTCATAGAGATTATGGGCGTCTACAGAACTTGACAGTTGTCCTTCTAAAGAACCAGACCTCTTTAACTTGAAAGACGCTTGCTTCGCTTGCAGCTCTTTCAACAAAGATGGGTGGACGTTTAGCTTTTCAACCTGAGCTATTTGTGGAGCACACTGTTCGTTTCGTAAGATTTGATTTCTTTTCTCTTGCAAGCTTGCTAATAGAGTGCCTTTTGCCACCTCCAGATCATTTGACATTTCATTGATTGTCTGAATCTTTTCAAGTTCATCATGGAGTGGCGTTAAATCAATGGGCGGTGGAGGTGGGGGAAATTCTTCACTAGGCTGACGTGAATGGTTTACGGAGTTCATGGGACTCGGGTATGGAGGAAGTTCGAACATAGTCGGAGATCTCCGCGATGGCATTGCGCAGTCTACCACGTCCACTCCGTTATCAAAGGTGTGGGTCAGATTTTGAATCGTATGTTGAGAGGGCATCATAGGCTGCATTGTTTCTCTTTTTACCGGACTTTGTTCTTGGTGGATCATAGCCTTCGTCACTACTGTGTGGAAGTTTTGCGCTGGTGACGTATCTAACCTATCGTAATGACTGTTGGACTTGTCGTCATACGGATGTAGGAACGGGAGCGAATGTGGTTCATCTCCATATTGTTCCGAGAATCCACCATCTTCTTCAATTTCTGTTGGATATGTACCTTTTCCATGTTCTGAATAAGTGTACTTAGACCCTGTGAGTTGGGAAGTCGTTCGAAGTGGCGGTGGTGGTGGAACTTTTGCGGCCGTCAGCATTTTACCTGCACTGCCGTGGAAACTTTTTCTCATAAGTTTACTCCTTTCGAGATTAGGATTAGTACCACTTGCCACTGAGTATTCTAAGTGCCCTTCAGATAAATAGCCACTTAGGTTTGTTTTATCTTCCGTCGTCCTGCCAACTTCCGTATCATCGACGGAAGAGACTCGCTTCTCTTTGTTAGCTGCCTCGTTGTTACCGTCAGCACCTTCTGTTAAATCAGGCATTGATCGATTTTTCCTTCGTATCAGGCCACCCATCAAAAGCTTTCTTCGAATTTTATGTTGTTTCTTGTTGGCCTTTTTATCTTCAGCGGTTTCTTCTTTTTTCTCTGCAGCTTTAACCACAGGAACTTCTTTCCGAGCACGACTTCGATCTTCACTTCTAGATCGCTTTTCTCTTACTTTATCATCGTCTCTAGATTTGTGCCTCGGGGGACGCTCCCGTGTCACTGTATCTATATCATCATCAATACATTTGGGTGATTTTTTAGACGAACCCTTCTTTTTGGGTAATGTGGCATAGATTTCAATAGTCATAGGCGACGCTTCAAGCCCACCCTTAGTATTTCTGATTGGAGCAGCCTGAGGAATTTCCGTCACCCTAGTCATTCCCGCCATTCGTCTTTGGAGACTACGTGCCCGCATTACACATGTATTGTGTTTCATACGAGCAAAAGTCACCATGTGACGATTGTTGTAAGGTGCGTCCATTGCTGCACGAGCTTTAGATGCAGCAGCGTCACAAAGTACTAGCGCTGTTTCGTAATCAGCAGAGTCTTCTGCATTGCGAGATTTTTCTAGCAGCCTGTCGGCTTCCAAGCAAAGCGCTTCACATTCACCACGTGTAGTTATTTCTGGTATTTGAGCCAGTTGCAAGTTGTGGCGTAGACCTTGTTGCAGAGGTAGACTGTCTGTAGAAGACAGAGAATATGAGTCGTATCCAGCATCACAAGAGCCTCCACTTGAGAGTTCCCCTTTACGCGTAGGACTGCCTGGAACGCTGCCCGCACCTCGACCTCTAGGATACATGTATGGGCTCTCTGCCGTCGACGAGGAAGCGGATGACGCACTGTTGCGATCGCCACTCCAGTTACCAGAGTCTCTTCGTGCTCGTGGCCTCTCTTGACTATCTGACCCTGAGCCAGTGCTCAAACTTCGATTGAGTTGTGCTCGACGATTGGCTTGAACTTCTAACATATTCTCCACGGCTTTTCTACTGACATAATCACTTTCATTATCTGGGCCTGGAGTGACCGCTCGTCGAGCGAATCCCGTCGCTGGCCGCTCTGGAGCTGGCGTGACTGCTCGGCGAGGTTCTGGCGCCGGGAATGGAACTACATCTTTTGGAGCATGACGAGTGTCACACGGCGTTCCATCAACCGCAGCGTATAACAGGAGGAGCGGTTGGAATCGTCCTCTTTGACATTTTTCTACGACGTGTGACCACTCCGGACCTATTTCTTTAACATCCGCATCATCGAAGTATATCCATAGGCGGAGTTTACTATGGAAGAAGAAGGTGGAGTAGTGCTTGCCGTAGTAAGTGACGAGGCCGACGAGGCGGTGCGTGGCGCGCGCTGCCCAGGCGCGGTCCACGCAGGCGTGGAAGGCGTCCGTAGGCCGCAGCTCCGTGCCCAGCGCGCTGTACACCGCCGCCACGTGCTCCGCCGACGGTCTCTCGGAATCCCAGACCATGCCAATTGACACCACTTCTGGACGGTTCATTAGCGTTCTGCATATCTGAATTTTCGCTCCGCAAGCATTCTAAAAAAAATAAGAAATTCACAATGTTATTCTTGTACATCGTTTTAAAATATTCTAAATTACGTCCAGTACTATTAATATTCCACTACTCCATAAATAAATTCTAGTTTAATATTCTCGAATAAGAGTTTGATTTTGGTTTTGATGTTATTATATTTAGTGAATACTCACCGGACAGTCTCTAATGTCGCCCATTCCTCCTGCTTTTCTTAGTAGCAGCCCAAAGCTGTCTCCATGTTCACCCAGCGCAGCTTGTGCTGTTAGAGCTGTAGCTGACACATAGTGGACCATCTGGAAGGATGTCATATCATTCTTAATTTTGGAAATGAACTTTTTGCACAAAATTTAATAGAGTGCATAATAATAAAGTTGAAAAGAAGAATATCTGGATTCTTAGCGTCTGCAGTTATTTAAAGGTTCCAGGGTAGAAAACTCACCTGAGTGAATGGCAAGGGTTCGGACGTAGCTTGGCAGGCGCTGCATACAGACTGTTCGACTAGCATCATGGCGAACTTTCGGTGGGGTACACAGTGCGGAGCTCTGCAGGCGTCATCGTCTCTTCGGTCACCGGAGCCGGCCGCCACGTGGGCGTGGACTCGGAGAAGTAAGTGCTCGAAGCACTCGCTGGCGTCGGCCATACAGCCGAGCTGGAAGCGAGCGCCACCGCCACCCAGCGCTCGACGGAGGCCGTCCGCGGCTGGTGCGCGCTCCGCAGACCATTGCAGTTGAGTGAACAATTCCTGTTAACAAACAAAAATAAAACTTAGTTTGACCATATTTACTTTTAATTAACTCGTCGAGTACCATATTTATAGACACAATTAAAGAACAATAGGCCGCGGTCACCGGTGACCGCTTGGTGTTTGACAGTTTAATATACATACTTTGCATACAATGTACGCAACAAAAAATATCGTAAAGTTCAAGTGAGTACGTAAGCGAGTATAAAAATTTATTGTACCTGGCAGTGAACCTTGAAATAAAATGTAAAACTAAACCGAAAATACTTGACATAATTTCAAATTGCAATAAATTAAAATATTTTGATTCGGCAAAAGTTTACTCGAAAAACACGGGGCCACTACAGGCTCTGCGTAAAAGAAAGTTGTGGTCGACGGGCCGCTATATGAATTTGTGTTTTAAGATCTATACGGTAAGATTGAATATTGAAGTAGTAGAATTAATTCGAGACTGGAACCAAACCAGTATGGCACGAATACGAGTTAAGGTATAGGTCACAAACATGGCGTGACCCGGCCGAGGTGATTTGACGTAGGTACTTACCTACAAACGTAGATATATCTTGTTTTTATGATTTCGTAACCGTTAGAATATCAAAAGTTATTAATATTAAAGTTAAGTTGTTTTAAGTTAGTTTGATTAAATTTATCAATGTCACATAGCCATTTTATCTATTGAAACACCGGCTCCCGGTATAAAACACATTATTCCCGCAACTTTCAACATACAAGAAGATAAGAAAATATTGAGAAAACACCTCAGTCGAGATTCATGAGTTAACGACCTATTTAATAAAGTATAACTATATTTCTAGGTAGTCACTCAATTATGGTAACATATCTGTAGAACATAAGCTTCATTTCACAATAAATCACATTTTATTATGAAAGAAAAATTATAAAACATTTATTAAAAGTTCAAGATGAGTTGTTCAAATCGCGTATTTCCCGGTGCACAGCGGACGCAGCTTGCGCATGGGCCTTCCGTTACACGGCTCTATAAACATGGCTAAACAAGACACGATGTTGCCGGCGTTTAATTTAAACAACCTAAATACTGTGATCGTGTTTATCTTTATAATCCACAATAGAGCTTGATGCTATGAATGGCAATGGTGTTAGATAAGATGGTATCACTGTAATTATAAGTTTTTTACGTGAAGTGCCGAGTAAATTGAATAAATGTAGATTGTTTTAGTTGGTACATAATAGTCTTTCGCGTACGAAATGTAAGTGAAGGACCAGGCAGGACCGCAACATCAAAATCCTAGACTCTGTTTAGACAGACAAACCTGTTTGCCGGTCAACGGCTTTGTAACGTGAAAAAACTTATGCAAAAAGTAATTCCTTGCACAGGAAACTTGCGTACGATAACAGAAACGGGCGTGCTAATTGATTGCTGATTATGATAACTGATAAAACACACAGCTTTTGTTAGAACTTATTCGTTGCAATTTGTATTATTAACAATGAACTGAAGTTACCATCTTTCCAGTTTAGTTGCGAGATGTTTTATGTAACTTCTGTAGGTTGGTACTCAACGCCGTTAACTAGCGGTTAATTGATGGTTCAATGTTGGTAACTAAATGAGACGTGAACAATTTAAAATAGAACTAGACTCTTTTCTACACGTTTTAAAACTTTATTCAGCTTGACAATAGGGATATCATCCAGCGAATACTTTATACTTAAGTGTTTAAAAAAGACACAAATATAATTTCAGACTTAACGTGGTTAGAGACCTCCACAAAACATAAACCAGGACCGGTCTTGGCTGATTGCGTCCATAATATTACAGTAAGAATAAATAAACGTCTAAAGTCCAAGAGATCGCAATGACGATCATCCATACACGGTTGTAGAGGACGTGTAGCTGCATACAAACGCACTGATTACGTAGTTCGTATACGTCTTTAAATTTATAGCTTTTGTGTAAACAAAGTGTAATGATCAAACCCGGAACTAATGCATCATAAATATGACATTAGTGGCACAACACAGCGGCGGGTGAGAACGCGGCTACAGCGCGAACTGCAGCCTTTGTTACGTGAGAATGATGCGGTGAACCCCGCGCCCTGACCCTGCTTCTTGTGGCTGCGGCTGTGGCAGCTCCCCTCTACAATCTATCAATACGAAGCGAGGAAACTAGGAAATTTGTGCCATATATGTGTAAAAGAGCGTGAGATTTCCTTTTTTTATTTCCTGTCGCATCTTGACACGGAAAATAAATGCAGAAACGGGTAGAATGTGCACATTTGTCTTCACTTTTGTATCTATTACTATACCTGATTTAATAGACATAAATAGCATGGTATTAAATGAGTCATTTTTAAAAACCCTATTAAAAATCTTACTTATGACTCAAGTTGGTCAGCCCATTTAAACGCTCTTATCTAACTTGTTAAAAGCATTCGAACAAATGTCTTTTCACGAAACTTGAGACAACCGATTTTTTACTCTACCATAAAGTTGAAGTTATACCATATATTATATTTAATTCAAAGTTGTATTCGGTACTGTTGATAGTTGATATCAAATAAGTTATTTTCCTGAACACAAAGGTGCTATAAAACCGAGCTTGATCTATCGCTTGAATATTAATCTGAAGTGAGCGTAAAGTATGCGCGTGTTTGAAATATGAATAATAAAGTATATAAGGAATAAGTTTCAATACATTGTTGGCGTATGTCACGAAGAGACAATACTCAATTCAAGACGCGCGTTACGCCGGAGGACGGCGACGGTTGCGCATACATACTTAAGTGGGCATTTTATGTATTCCCGAGACAAATTGCCTTTGGAGGCATCGACACAATAGCTTTAGGAGGGTCAACGACGAGTAACGCATCGACAACTTATTCTTCTTCAGTTTATTAAGTACCTGTATTGTACTTGAAGGTAGGCAATATTCATAATTTACTAGCTTCCTAGCCACCAACAAAGGTACAAATAAATCTTCATTACGACTGAAAGGGCTCATGAAAATGACTGAAGGTTCTCACACTTTGCAATGTGTGTCAGACGTCTAATCTATTAATTTATATTATCTGTAGACTGTAGACTTTACGTTAATATTAATTCAACGAAGTACAGAAAAACTTAAGATTAATCAAAATGGGTTCCCATTCGATCTGCAATTCAATTTGTTCGAATAATTTGATTTTATATTTAAATAGGACTTAATATTAATATTCATGAGCCGTGTAGCTTCCAGTAAAACCGCGGGTCGTGCTTTAATAAGTAATTACATGTGCAATTAGCAATCAATGAGGTAACGACACGACTACATTTGTAAAACTAAATCGTTGATGTCTTTTGTACGCTGTGAAACAAATGTCAATTTAACCTTTTGATTTGTGATTGAAATAAGCAACCAATTGTAAAGTAGTTAGTTGTTGTAGGTAGTATTTACAATTCAATAGACATTGATATGTAATGAATACAGAGATGCGCAAATATTTACAAAACATATTGCCTACAGTAAAGATTCTTTCTTGCGGAATTTATGTTTAACGGATTTTACACAGAACATCGAAATATTGAATTAAAATCTGTAAAGTTCACAAAAATGGTTTTTGTAAGTGCAACTTACTCTAAACAGCGATATAGTGGTTTGGCTGAGCGGTGTTTCAGGTGGCTCGCGCCTCGCTGCCGACGAGGGTCGCGAGCGCGGGAGTGTGTTGTTCCTCACTCCGGCTAGCGAGCCTGTCAGCAGCATGTCCTTTGGTGGCAGCAACTCCCGGTCTCTGAGACCCTCGATCTTCTGCTTCTGTATAGCCGTACCACTCTTGCCGCCATCACTCGACTCCTTACGTTTATACCGAAACTTGATCATCGTTTCACTGTAGTCCGCATCGCTCACGAATCACACAACTAACCCAACGAATTCAGTTCCTCATTTGGATTCAATCTCCATACCTATCGCAAACACAATGGTCGCAAACTAAATATACATTTGTCTTCGTGTCCACAAACAACTCTATACGGCAATAAGTACGCGACACACGTAGGATTGGGAAACTTTTCATTTGAATTCAGCGCCGCACGTGAAATAGGCACGCTGAGATATGCCTATTATATCCACTATAGTAATAACACTACTTCACTATTGTAATAAAACTAGCGAACAACTGCCTCAGCATGAAACCTTAAGGTTTCGGCGCGAAAACGTCAGATGTCTTAGAGCAACAGGTGTCCACACTATAACACGCAACTGTCGCGACGTAATACACTGAATTAGTATTCACACAGTCACAGAAACACGTTGTTACTAATTACGTTGAACAGTAATCTATTTAGTAAATGAGTTACAATATCGTAAATGAGTGAGGTAGACACAAACGCTCGACTCTACGAAGGCTTTCGTGCAGACTGAGCTGAGACAAGCGGCGGAGGTGTGCGGGGGCGAGACCCGCGCCTTTACCTTCCCGGTACCTACCTATGTTTTTTCTAATCTATTGTTAACGTAACTCACGTGGGCCCTGCCCTGTCTCCGTCTCTCTCATAGAGTTTTCCATAAGTTTGTCTCAACGTTTTACGACAGCGCGCGAAGCTTTGTTTATATTTCTATGGCGATAAGCTCTAAGTACACGATGTTATAAAGTTTTAAGAAATATAGCATTCAGAGTAAACACGTGCGATGCAGATGAATTTAGATATGGTTTTCCTAGAATATTTAAAATTTTAGGGTGCCTTTCTGATATCACTCTTGGTAAAATAAATACAGTCCTAACTAGCACTAACTTATTTCTATGAAAATGTACCTAAAGCTAGATGATAAACTTTTTATTTCTAAATACACACATTCACATGCGTTTGTCGCCACTAAAAACTTTACATTGTCCTCTTCAAAAATTCTAATGATTCATACGTCAAAAATGCTAAGGGTGTTTAGATCCTATTGATAAAAGACCCTTGACTCAAATTGATGGGAAGAAATAAACATATTTTTTGTATAAGATGTTCTAGTTCATTATAGCGAAGATGTGGAGGGTGTATGCGTAATATGAATGAACTTTCACGAGCATGAGTCAGTTTGGAAGTATGTCGGAGTTGTAAAATGTGGTCAGTTTCCTTGAGAGACGGGTGGTCGATACTTAAGCAGGGCACTAACATCACCCATTAAAATACCTGGGCAATTATTGTACTAATTTGTAAGACAAGAAGATGGTTCAATACCTTAATGTCTCGAATGGAAGTTGTTATACATATTTGCGATTGAAAAAGGAGTATTTACGGAAACTGTAGTTATTATAACTAGGCTAGTATCTATAAAAAATATTGTGATCCGCTTCCCATGTACCGATTTCTTCACCACATGTCTAATCTATATCCACTTAAATATGTTAATTTGTTTACTTGCACATCCGAAACCGCTGATTCATTCATGTTACGTATAGTTAAAACAACGAACACTATAAAAGTTCAAAGCTTCGACTTCTCAGAAGTGAGTTAAGGTCGCCTCATAAGGAAAACCGAAAAACTGCGCCCACGCGGCCACACAGGCGAATTTGGTTATATTCTAGATTTACCATTAGTGGCGTGTGAATTTGTTGAACTTTAGTATAGAAATAATGACATTTATAAACGTTGCTAATATTATAGCTACATTTGTATGCTTTATAAGTGTAGATTGAGGAATACTAATCATGGTTGGCTCATTTTTTAACGTGCAGGTGTTAATATTGTGCATTACATAATGTCAAAACAAAACCAGTCTCAGAATTTTTAGGCTCTAGCGTAAGATTTCATATATCGGCTTTAACAAATTAGGTGCCAAGAACTGGTGTATTTAATTTTCTAGAGCATTATGTACGAGAAGTTTATAAGAACTAATATGTATTATTATGTTTTCGGCTTACTCACTTAATTATTTGACGATTATTTGACTAAGTAGCAGCGCGACTGTCGCTAATCATGAATATGAGCCTCTAGTATGGCTTGAAACTAGTCGAGTTCCTCGTCAAATAATTACGTAAGTAATCCGAAAACATAATAATATATTTAGTATGTCTCACGAAAGTTATAATACAAGAACTAATATGTTCTGTCTGTAATTTACATGAAAGCTTTCTTATAGAAATCTCGGCAAAACAAAAAGACGGTGAATAGGAAAAGTGTATATTTAATAACAAATGTGGCTTCAATAAGTCGGTGCTCATGAACCGTGAGACGTTCTCACATGTGAGGTAGCGATCCAGTTACATCTACCCGCGCTGCTCGTGTACGACACTGTGAGAAAATATCGCCTTTTTATCAAATCAATTAACTACTTCCCGCTTAATTAAGATCCGAGATTTGCGACACTACCTTCTTCTCTAAAACATCTCTTTCGGTCGTGTTTGTAATGTAAAGATTTTGGTCAAAAATACTTTAAAATCGATAAAGTTTCCTAAACTGTTTCGTTGTTCTAGTGATCTCACCGTGACTGCAAAACACGAGGTCTTGTTTAATTCATAGATCGGGTTTGTAATTACCAACTTAATGATGACTAAAAGCACGTATTCTAGATTTGAACTAATAGCATAAGCTTACTTAAATTGCTGTATTTGTATCCTTTAAAGACGCAATTTGGGCAATGGGCAAGGGAAGTATTTTTGACCATTGCAACTTCATCAAGCTAGAACCTATAGTAGCAAAAAAGTACTAAACTACTAGTAATAGAGTCCTCTTTCCATCCACGTTAACTTAGAATTGGTTTACAAATATCAATTTTATAATTTTTTATGATATTTCAAAACCAACGCATAAAACGTGACGTCAAGGGGCTTTTTTTTATTTAAGGGGGGAAAATCATCGTATGATTGCTCCCGCCTGGGTGAGGCGGGAGGGAGTCTCAAACTCTTACTGACTAAAAACCACCCCGTTCCTTCTCCTGCACGTCGAGCCGGAGCCCCGGTTACCCGTTAGGTTCTCCGCGACACGTCAAGGGGCTATCACCTCGATATTATTACAAAGGTTGAGTATGTTCGTCAGTTCGTCATAAGTTCATAACATAACCGTCGTGTCAGCATCGTTGTTTCGCCACGGTTTCTCCGAATAAGGCTATTCAAGAGGCGGATCTGTTCTCTGTACAAGACAGTGTTATTCACACTCTTACGACAGGGACCTTGTACGAATTATTTTTCTTTGAACTAGGTACTCAGGACTAAGTTGTATATGGCTACTTGGTTATAGAATAGATAATTTTAAACTTGGTTTAGAGTTCAACCATCAACTGTTTTTATAGAAATGTTTTCATAATCATCGTCTTTATATTATGTAGTTGTTTCGTGCATTTGACGTTTGTGGTGACGCAAATAATGAGATGTAATGTTGTGGAAGCAAAAAGAGGTTTATGATCATTGAAAGCACTCAATTATAGATTAGTTGATTACCCCAAATGTTAGCTATGTACGTTAAAACTATTGTTTGATTGTGACATAATTGTACATTGCTATCACCCATATGGTGCATACGAACTAATTTATTTGTAATTGCGGTTGCCAAGGTGTGAAGCTACAAACAATCGGTGTTGCAACACTAAGCGGAACCCCTAATTCTGTAGAATTCAACGTTGTATCAATTACCTATTGTAATGCAAGCTAATACATTCTTTGAAATTGTTACAAGGAGATACATCTATCATCAGACTATTAGATTATCTCCACAAACATATGAACGTGTGTATCGTTTAGTTTCGAGATAGGATTGTTAGGATTGAGTAACTCAATTACGAATTTAAATCATGCGTTCTCTTAACATTGCAGCATTACTTCACTGTATTTGGAACTCAAGGACTTATAAGAGTTAAGAACAGTTTAATTTTGTAATAAACTCACTTGTACGAAATAAACAATTACATAATTAGATAACAAATGTCACTGAGATGTGATCCGAGTCAAAGAAATGAGATCAATTCTTATCATAACGCAAGTGTGATGAACTCTAGCGTTCTATTCAATTAATCGGAGTTATCGACGCCACAATCGATTCGTTCAACTCGTAACATCTAATTGAATTACTGCAACAAACCATTGTGTGAGTGAGCTCGGCGATAAACTCGGGATATGTGATTTATCGATACACTATCGGAGCCCTTACAGCATCACGTTAGCAATGATGACTAATGAACGTACGGAGAAAGGGTCAAACAAATAACATGGATACTTGTTTTACAAAACGTTATTTAGAACCAGTTCAGTGTGGTATTAAATATATTTAAGAGCATTGCAAATATGTTGCGCACTGACCACTCACTTTGACACTAATCGATTTCTCCCCATCTAAAGGTTACCAAATTTGAAACTTTTTTGTACTCAATGTCAATCATATTTTGTTAAGAACTACTTGATAGAAGATGGAGGTAGGTGAATAGTTGGATGAAGACAAGAAATGAGAGTATTATTGTTCTAATACTCTTATTCTACGTTTAGTTCTTCTCCCCTAAAAGGTTAGTAGTTGTTCGCCAGTAATCAAAGCTACAGAGAATTAAGAAATCGAAAATGATACGTTGCAACGGAAACGGAAACGGATCAGTAAAGTGTCTGACAGACACAATTATGAAACTAGACATAAGAATAGATTAAGTCCGCCATTTTTTAGATTGTCAAAAGTACATAAGTCGTTCATGGGATTCGGTGTTAAATGTTATAACAAAATCCCCCAAGAAATACTGCATCTAAATGAAAGAAAATTTAAACTATGTATTAAAAAAACGTTATGTAGACAAGCATACTACAAACTAAATGATTATATAGAGGATAAAAGTGCTTGGAGGCAGGCTGGTCCGGCTCCGCAGGATAATACATGAAACACAGTGATGTTCAATGAATTCTATTGTGTAATAATATAATC